GATAGCTTCCATATTGTCACCAGACACTGAGGGAGGCAGCCATCGGTCAGCAGCGGCTTGGGATGGAGGGCTCATCCCAGGGCTGAGTGAAGCTTGCGAGGTTGACGGTCTCCAGGCCTAGGGCGGGCTGGGAGGGTGGAGCAGGAAGCAGGTGGGCACACAGGGTCAAGGAATGTACCACGGTGGGGGGCAGCTGTCACAGCAGGTTGGCTCCGCTAACCAAACCGTGTGTGGGCAGGTGCTGGGCAGGCTGAGTCCACATGGGCAGCATTTATCAGAGAAGCAGATGGTGGTGATAGTACCAGTGGGGACACTGCAGCAGTAATGGGAAGCACAGAAAGCCATGGCGGTGGGAATCTGGTTTGCTTTTGGAGAAACCCTTTACTTTAAACCTCTTAGCCTGTTGCGGTATCCAAGAAAGTATTTGGTTGGCCAAAAAGCTCATTTGAGTTTTTCCATATAAATAGGAATATTTTGTACCACTTAAAATTTAAAAGCTGTGATACACTAGTTTAAATCTCATGTCTACTAATTAATTATGAAATGCTTCAAGACTCTAATGCAAAGTTTCGAATGTAAAAAGTAAAACTTGAATATGAATAATCAATATTTCAAAGTTTTAATAGTGCTCCTCCATGGACAGTGTGGAGTCAGCAAATAGGAGATTCACAGAAGTTTCACCCTAGAGGGACTCTACAAATCTTCCAGTCTGCTCTGCTTCGTTTATAGAGGAGGAAGCAAACATCCAGAGAAATGGTGCAATTTGCCAAAGGTCCCCCAACTGGTTATAGTGACAGTGCCATGCCTAGAAGCAAAGCCTGCACCCTCCTATCCAGACTTCATTTTTTCCCAGACTGACATTTCACTGTGAACAATTCATCGACAATTTATACGATATGTATAATTTCCTAAATAAGATTTAGCAAGCCAACTCCAGATTTTCTTAAGGTTATTGAATTGCTCAAAGTAGCTAATGAAGACTAACATATACTGAGCTCTTACTGTGCTTCCAGCCCTGTCCTCAGAGTTTATACTATCTCAATGCATTTTCCCAACAACCTTATGAGGCGGGTATCATTTTAGATGTAAATACTCTCAGGCACAGACAGATAAATAGCTTGCGCAAGATCACACAGCCACTATGCTATCTAACTGGGACTGCAGCCCTTGTCTGTCTGCTATTTATGGCTGTATTTTTAACCGGAATTTGAAACATTCTCCCTTCCTACTGTGCATTTCTGTTAGTCTATATGAAAGTGTACTGTTAATACTTAGTAATTTGTAGGTACTTATAACTTCTCACATTTTTTAAGAAGATTGAAAAATGTATCTCACTGTGTTTCTTGCTTCTTTTATTAAATTGGCATTGATTTTCTATACCAAAAAAGAAAAAAGACGCACATGAAATAGCATCTTGAGTCCATTGAATCTAGCAGTGCTGCCAGTTCTTATCTCCTCACTAGTAACAACCCTTCAGTATCCTCCTTCTCACTGGAGGCAGAAGCCAAAGTCCTTACAGGCCACTGACAAGGCTGCTGGTAATCTGTATCTCCCCTCAACTCCCTGCCTATCTTTCCCTTCAGGGCTACCTACTGTTCCCTCCACTTCTTTGAGATAGTTACTCAAATATTACCTTACTGCCCAGGCTCCCCAGACTACCCCATTTATAACTGAAAAACTCCCCCAACCCCAGCACACCTTGCCCCTCTCCTGTTTTGACATTTCCCGGCCATACTTGTTCAGTTCAGTTCAGTCTCTCGGTCGTGTCCCACTCTTTGCGTCTATTTTAACTTATTGGCTAATTGTCCCTAAGAGAATGAAGGCATAATTACATAGTTCACTGCTGTATTCCTAGTGCTTAAGAGAAGGTGCTAAAAAATACTTGCTGGGTGAACTGTATGACAAACTATAACATCCAGGTATGTGCCTTTGTTTCAACTTCAAAATGTAAGCTACATATTCTGAGCACCCTAACTCTGTAATGCCCTCTCATAGATTTATTACCTATGGGCTATTCACTAATCATTTTTTTCTTTTTACTGTTGAAATTAATTTACCCTCTCTTCCACTCTGTATTCTTGGTGGTCTCCAGGATTTCAAAAAGGGGGAATATCAAATTTTTGACAGATCCCTCAGCAATTTAGAGAGAGTGATCTGTACTTTCACTGGTCTCTGTAGAACAGGACTATCATGACAGCATTAAAAACACAAGAAGAAAAACTATTAGGAAAGTGAAGTCACTATTTGTATTTTCAAGTGGTAAAATAAAATATTGCTTGTAAAAAGGACAAACAGCAAGATGATGGCTCTTTGAGCATTTGCTGTTGTTGTCTAGTTGATAACTCGTGTCTGATTCTTTGCGACCCTGTTTACTGTAGCCCCCAAGCCCCACTGTCTATGGGATTTCCCAGGCAAGAACACTGGAGTGTGTTGCCATTTCCTTCTCCAGGGCATCTTCCCGACCCAGGGACTGAATCCCTGTGTGCTGCATTGGCAGGCTGGTTCTTTACCTCTGAGCCACCAGGAAAGCCCCGTTAAGCATTTATAAAAACAGTTTTTCTGTTGAATGTTGTCTCGGAAGGCCCAGTGTAATGAAAGAAGCCTGGGGTGGGAGGAGGACCTGGGTTCTCGGGCCATGTAATGAGCAGACTGAAGATGATCTTTGTGATACAAAACTCTTGGAGACAAAGCCATGAAATTTTCTCACGCCCATTTAAAGTTATTCAGTTCAGTCGCTCAGTCGTGTCCGACTCTTTGCGACCCCATGGACTGCAGCACGCCAGGGCCCCCTGTCCATCACCAACTCCCGGAGTTTACCCAAACTCAAGTCCATTGAGTCAGTGATGCCATCCAACCATCTCAACCTCTGTCGTCCCCTTCTCCTCCTGAACTCAATCTTTCCCAGCATCAGGGTCTTCTCAAATGAGTCAGTTCTTTGCACCAGGTGGCTAAAGTATTGGAGTTTCAGCTTCAACATCAGTCCTTCCAATGAACACCCAGGACTGATCTCCTTTAGGATGGACTGGTTTGATCTCCTTGCAGTTCAAAGGACTCTCAAGAGTCTTCTCCAGCACCACAGTTCAAAAGCATCAATTTTTTGGTGCTCAGCTTTCTTTATAGTCCAACTGTCATATCCATACGTGACTACTGGAAAAACCATAGCCTTGACTAGATGGACCTTTGTTGGCAAAGTAATGTCTCTGCTTTTTAATACGCTAAGTTGGTCATAACTTTTCTTCCAAGGAGTATCTAAAGTTATATTTCATGTTTATTTTTACAATTAATTTAACATACCAAGAATAATTGTTATAAATTGATATTTAGGTATATGAACTTTATTTTCACGATTTAGTTTTTCCCAGTTAAACAGAAATTGCTTTCATGTTGGTAACATTTAAACATGTAAGTCATATCTAAGGACACAAAAATGACCACCATAATTACCATATTTAATTCTGATTCATTGGCGGACTAATTACTTATTTTGTGAGCATGGAAGCCCCCCTGTAATTCTTTTCCCATTTTGAACAAGGGCAAAGAACCTGAAAAGTTCAAATTTCAGTTTGTCACTTGTTTGTAAGCTCTAAGGATGTTATAACCAAAGGCTAAAATGACTTTTTGGCACTGTTTGGAAGTTCCTATTTCGGGTGCTATCCCTTCTGCCTCCATCAGCTTGAACTGAGAATTACTAGTACTATACATAATCCACTAATTTCAACTCAAATCATTTCACAAATGTTAATATTTCATCTTCATATATGACTGCACTGTAAAATACAAGATTCTTAAAAGCCATTGAAGAGAACTTTAAAAATAAAATTTATTAATCAGTTAAACCATACTATGGGAGAAAGTTAAATGTGTATTTTTCTAAATTTTGAATTAAAATTGGGGCAGCCTTGTGCCAGCTAAAGCACCAAGCAATATAGCTGACCTTAGACTAGACTAGACCACTGGCTAGCCACTGTGCAGATTCTCTGGGGTTTAAGACATTCATCTCTTATCACATATCTAAATTCTGGAAAACTGGAAGAACATTCACTCACCTCTTATTTAGTAAAAGGAAAAATTAAACTTCTAAGACAACCAAAATAACATTTCTCTTTGAGAGTGACAGTTATTTTTCTTTTCACAAAATCACAGCCTTGTATTTTTTCATAAGTCTTTATTAGAGCTTTGGCATAGTTTTGCCAAAGGTATAGCCATAGGAATAGAACCAAAGTGTGTGACCTAGCTGGGGGTCTTATCCTCACTGTTAGTTAAGGAGACTTCATAACTGCATGACCATGTCCTAAATTGGACAGAATAAATCTTACAGGAGGTTTGCCTTCTTGGTGGATATAAAGAAAACAGAAATGCAATTCTAAGGCTAACTTCTTTGGCTATTAGTACCATGACAAGGTCTGTAAAGTCCGCTTTGCAGTATGGAGTGGAGGACACTTCAAAAACAAACATGATCTCCTAAACCCTGCATCAGAGGTCATGGGAGACAAAAGAAAGGCCCTTCCTGAGTCTAAAATTCAACTCCCAAGTTAGGATTTAGGAAAATTAAACCAATTATTAAGCAGAAGAAAATCCCCTGCGCATAATGACTGTCAGCTTGTACAAATCACATCAAAATTTTAAGGAGTTCTAAGCAAATAGCTGGAGAAACAGATAAGATAAATCTAAAATGGAAGAAGAGGTGGCTGATTCCAGCTGAAAATACCAAGTTGAGGATGAAAGCATTTGGGTAGAAGTAGCCTCCTGGCCGGAAAGCAAAGAGCATAAACGAATACTGCCACCAAAGTGCTGGAAAGGCCAACAGAGGCTGCAGCGGGTCGGTTTAACTGAAGGCGGTTTCCACCTCCTCCATTAGCTCGGCCCCAATTGGAAGCGCAGTGCGCGGCGCCGCGCTCCCGGCCCGCCGCTCAGGCGGGGCGGGGCGGGGCGGGGCGAGCGCGGGCGCTCCACCGGCGCAGAGGCGGGGCGGCTATATTACGTGCGCGGTGCCGCCCCTGCGAGAGGACGTTGCGTGCTCGCTCGCGCCAGGCGAGTCTCCGCGTCTCCCTCGCGAACTCGGTGAAAGGAATTGGCGCCGTTCGACACCAGGCGGATCCGCTCTGCAGCACGAACCCACCTCCAGCCGCAGCCGCAGCCGCCGCCCGGGCCAAGGAGCAGCCGCAGCCGCCGCCAGTGGCCGAGTGAGCGGAGCCGAGTTTGAGCCAGCGCCTAGCGGTGAATCGGGGCCTCACCATGAGTTCCTCGCCTGTTAATGTGAAAAAGCTGAAGGTGTCGGAGCTGAAGGAGGAGCTCAAGAAGCGGCGCCTGTCCGACAAGGGCCTCAAGGCCGAGCTCATGGAGCGTCTCCAGGCCGCGCTAGACGACGAGGAGGCCGGGGGCCGCCCCGCCATGGAGCCCGGGAACGGCAGCCTAGACCTGGGCGGGGATTCCGCTGGGCGCTCGGGAGCAGGCCTCGAGCAGGAGGCCGCGGCCGGCGGCGACGACGACGAGGAGGAAGAGGAGGAGGAGGAGGAAGGGATCGCCGCCTTGGATGGGGACCAGATGGAGCTCGGGGAGGAGAACGGCGCGGCGGGGGCGGCCGACTCGGGCCCGATGGAGGAGGAAGAGGCCGCCTCGGAGGACGAGAACGGCGACGACCAGGGCTTCCAGGAAGGGGAGGATGAGCTCGGAGAAGAGGAGGAAGGCGCGGGCGACGAGAACGGGCACGGGGAGCAGCAGCCTCAACCGCCGGCGGCGCCGCAGCAACAACCCCAGCAGCAGCGCGGGGCCGCCAAGGAGGCCGCGGGGAAGAGCAGCGGCCCCACGTCGCTGTTCGCGGTGACGGTGGCGCCGCCCGGGGCGAGGCAGGGCCAGCAGCAGGCGGGAGGTAAGAAGAAGGCGGAAGGCGGCGGAGGCGGCGGTCGCCCCGGGGCTCCGGCGGCGGGTGAGTGCTGCGTGGTTGGTTGCGCGCGGCGGGAGGCCCGCGCGGGGTGGGGTAAAAAAAAAAAGATTCAAGGGGAGGGGCCGGGCGGGGCCCGTGGCGAGCAGTACAATGCGGCCGCGGGGCGTGGGCCCGGGTCGGGGGGAGGGGAGTGCGGGCGGGGCGCTTCTGCCCCTCCCCCTTTCCTGAACTCTCTCTGGGGTACACGTGGGCGACGGGCCTGGGCCGCGCTCAATTTTCATTAGTTTTCTGGAATATTCGAGTGGACTGGCAAAATTAGCAATGTCCTTAGACTGCGTCACGGACTCCAAGCCGATTCCAAGCAGATTGTTGTTTGAATTCGCAAGTGAGTCATTGATTGAAATCACGACAATGTACAAGTGGAGCTTTAGGGAACCTCCAACAAGAAAGGGATTTTCTGTTTGTTGTGGCGGCGTGCCGTGGTATCTTACACAGCGGTGTCGTGTGTGTTGTAGGAGACGGCAAAACAGAACAGAAAGGCGGAGATAAAAAGAGAGGTGTTAAAAGACCTCGAGAAGATCATGGCCGTGGCTATTTTGAGTACATTGAAGAGAACAAGTATAGCAGNGTAAGAGACGGCAAAACAGAACAGAAAGGCGGAGATAAAAAGAGAGGTGTTAAAAGACCTCGAGAAGATCATGGCCGTGGCTATTTTGAGTACATTGAAGAGAACAAGTATAGCAGGTAGAGGATGCTAACCTAGTTTTGTCACATGTTCATTGTTCTTTGGTGGGGAAAGTTGTATCAGGAGACAATTCTGTCTTTTCAGAGCCAAATCTCCTCAGCCACCTGTTGAAGAAGAAGATGAACACTTCGACGACACAGTGGTTTGTCTTGATACTTGTAAGTGAAGCTGTTTACCTGTTTCCTCCCTCAGTTATCAAATGTGATTTCTGGTTACAAGATGTTAGACAACTTAATGTGTGTAAACGGTTCTTTTAAAATTAGAAAGATGGTGGCTTTTATTCAGATTCTGGTCACTTAATTTAGTCCAGCAGTTGTATTCATAGTTTTAGAGGCTCTAACAATTTGATTATTTTTTGGTATGATTTTAAAATTTTCGTTTGTAGGAATGTGAAATGAATGTCAATATTTGACTGTCTAGCTAATAGAAACTTGTAAGACTGACTATAATTTGTCCCTATAGGGTCTACAATAAAAGTAATGTCATTTTTTTTTGGTGGAATTATGTTAAGTGAGCTACTTGGGCTAGTTAAGTATTTATTAATGACTTTCCCATTAGCACATCACGATATTCCCTATTCTAAAAGATTGTAATATTACTTTCTCAATAACTGCTCTTTTGTTCTCAATTCCAGTTCAGTAGCTGCTGCTTTAACCTAAGTTGGTTTCTTCCAAAGACCTGGGGCAGCAGCAGTGGGCTATCACTGGGCCACTAGCTTTCTTCAGCAGCGAATGGTATCAATGACAGCGCTGTAAATACTGCTACTTTACCCAGTTGGGTTGCAATTGAGTATGAGGAAGTATTGCAAACCTCTAAATGGGCCTTGGCAGTCAGATTCCTAATTTTTCTCACATACATACAAAATCATTGGTTTAGTATTTTGATCAGAGAGTAGAATTTTGTGATAAACCGAAAAAAGGGTAGAAATAATTGCTTAGAGGTAAGGTGTCATCCTGTCTTGTAGATCTAAGGAGTTGAATCTTAGATTCTCCTGTTTTGGAATACCTATTTTATTTAGATGTGTATGGTAGTGTAAATGTAAGTCTTGACTTTTTATTACATACCGTTTACATATAGTCAACGTAGTGGAGTCTTTTTTTTTTTTAAGAACTGCATATGGAAGAGTAGTTGAATGTTTTATGTTTAGTTTTAAAGTTTAGTTGCTTAAAATTGGCGAGATACGAAGCAATGGTTTAGGAAGATAATGCTGTTATAAGACTGTAGCTCATCGAGGGATACCAGTTTAAGTGCATTATTGGGCTCAAGTATAATCTATTGAACATTTCTATGAGAAATGTAAAGAGCAAAGCTTATGTAAGGAATTCCAGACTGTAGGTATAATTTCATCTCACCAGTAAAACTTAAGAAAGTAGCTTTCTTAATTTAGTGTTGCCTCCACTAAGAACTCAGAAGGTGCATGCTAATGAGCCAGTGACCCAAAGCTAGCTAGGTTAAAGTCGTTTTGGATTTGGATTACTCCAAAGTGTGTAATCCCCCATTCGTATTAACAGGCAAATCTGGGGAAAGGGGACCTAAAATGCTGTGGTAGTAACAGCATTGATGACCAGGTTTGTATTGTATAGACTGAGATTGCCTTAAGTTTTAGCAAAGAATTTAAGATCTAGAACCCCTGTAAAGTGAGGATCAACAGCTCATACTCTTTAAAATACTTGGTCATGGCCTCGCTTCAGTTTTATTGTGGCACTGGTAAATTCTACCTGGTCTGGCATGCTTCACTTTGATTTCCTGCTATCCTCTACTGCTTGCCTCTAAATCAAGGTAAAGAGCAGAGCAGGTATGTATAAATGTCACATTGTCTTGATTATTTTATATACTTAAAATGCTCATAAACTAAACCTTGTTATTTGTTAGCTGCATAGGTAGTGTACACTTCAGTTCATAATTTGGCAAGAATGACTTGGTGGGAGTGGGGTTTAAACTGAAACTTAGAATAGCATCTGCAAAAATGTATGCAGCATTCAGAAATATGTGAAAATTTAATAATAGCTTTGTCTACATAGCAGATGTTTATAGTGGATATCAAAAGAAATAATAACGGTATTTGATATAATTGCAGATAATTGTGATCTACATTTTAAAATATCAAGAGATCGCCTCAGTGCTTCTTCCCTTACCATGGAGAGTTTTGCTTTTCTGTGGGCTGGAGGAAGGNAAGAGATCGCCTCAGTGCTTCTTCCCTTACCATGGAGAGTTTTGCTTTTCTGTGGGCTGGAGGAAGGGCATCTTATGGTGTGTCAAAAGGCAAAGTCTGTTTTGAGATGAAGGTAAAAGTAGTTTTGTGATGTTCTTTTTTTTCTTATGCTTTGTGAGGTTTTTGCCTGTTTCTAGATATCAGTGGAACTTGTATTTTTTTTCAAATTTTTGTGGGTTACAAGAGGGACTATGTTTTATAGTAGTTGAAGATGTTTATTATATTAGAAGTTGCCATGTAGATAGAGCCAGCATAATTTTTACTTAGGGTGTTCATTTTTTATCAGGCACTTGAAAGGCCTGCCAAAGGTTTGGAAAAAAATTTGGTTAGGCTCCTGCTTTTATTTTGAGAAATACTTGTCAAAGAATAAACTTAAGTTGGTTTTGAGTATGAGAATATATAATTTCAACATTTTCTTTTAAATGTGAATCAACCAAGTACATGTTCAGTTTCAAGTTATAAGCCCTTAAAATTTGAAGTTCTTGTAAATGTTGGGGGGAGTGTAAAGTAAAGTTGGTGTGTCTTTGTACTTAGTAGCTGAAGAAGGATTATTAGCCCATTGCCCAAATGAAATAAAGCAGGGTTGATTGAGTGATTTATTTTCCTTGGTTTACAGTTTGTTTTTCTTTGACTTTCAGGTTACAGAGAAGATCCCAGTGAGGCATTTATATACAAAAGATATTGATATACATGAAGTTCGGATTGGGTGGTCACTAACCACAAGTGGAATGTTGCTTGGTAAAGTTTCCATTTGAGTATCTTGGTACTCTTGAGTGTTTAGGGTTTGATTTCAGTAGTTAGAAGGCATTCTAAACTTTTTGCCTATTTTTTAGAGATGAATAACAGTAACATGAGCCACAGGTTAAATTTTAGCTTTTCTTTATAATTACTTGGTTTATGGCTGATGGTTCAAATAGAATGTTATCATGTCATGCAATTTGTCAACTAGTTAAATAACCACCTAGCTCTTCTTATATATAGTATAAAGTCAGTATAGTGTATTCTTGAACCCCACATCTTGAAAAAATAATGGGTCAGTGTATTGTTTCAGAGACTTGATTTAATGAAAGTTAATCATTTTCTTAGGTGAAGAAGAATTTTCTTATGGGTATTCTCTAAAAGGAATAAAAACATGCAACTGTGAGACTGAGGATTATGGAGAGAAGTTCGATGAAAACGACGTGATTACGTGTTTCGCTGTGAGTCCTAGCTAAGTTTCTATGTAAATGGCAAGTCATTAGATAAGATTAGTTCAGTTATATCGGACTTTTCATTTACTGATTGATTTTGACTGAAAACTTAATGTGAAGTTGGTCTGAAAATCTAGTCTTTTTGGGTAGTATTAATTTCTGTTTGTGGACATAGGTGTTGTAGTTGTCCACACCAAGCTATTTTAACATATAACCTAAATATCCACAAGATAAGCTTTACTCCTAGGTGGTTTGTTTTTTTTTAAGAAGTGTTACAAGAAGCAGATTAAAATCCATTCATTTTTCTCTGCAATTAACAGAACTTTGAAAGTGATGAAGTAGAACTGGCTTATGCAAAGAATGGACAAGATCTTGGCATTGCCTTCAAAATCAGTAAGGAGGTTCTTGCTGGACGTGAGACGGCAAAACAGAACAGAAAGGCGGAGATAAAAAGAGAGGTGTTAAAAGACCTCGAGAAGATCATGGCCGTGGCTATTTTGAGTACATTGAAGAGAACAAGTATAGCAGAGCCAAATCTCCTCAGCCACCTGTTGAAGAAGAAGATGAACACTTCGACGACACAGTGGTTTGTCTTGATACTTATAATTGTGATCTACATTTTAAAATATCAAGAGATCGCCTCAGTGCTTCTTCCCTTACCATGGAGAGTTTTGCTTTTCTGTGGGCTGGAGGAAGGGCATCTTATGGTGTGTCAAAAGGCAAAGTCTGTTTTGAGATGAAGGTTACAGAGAAGATCCCAGTGAGGCATTTATACGAAAGATATTGATATACATGAAGTTCGGATTGGGTGGTCACTAACCACAAGTGGAATGTTGCTTGGTGAAGAAGAATTTTCTTATGGGTATTCTCTAAAAGGAATAAAAACATGCAACTGTGAGACTGAGGATTACAGAGAGAAGTTCGATGAAAACGACGTGATTACGTGTTTCGCTAACTTTGAAAGTGATGAAGTAGAACTGGCTTATGCAAAGAATGGACAAGATCTTGGCATTGCCTTCAAAATCAGTAAGGAGGTTCTTGCTGGACGACCACTCTTCCCACATGTTCTGTGCCACAACTGTGCAGTTGAATTTAATTTTGGTCAGAAGGAAAAGCCATATTTTCCAATACCTGAAGACTATACTTTTATCCAGAATGTCCCCTTGGAGGATCGAGTTAGAGGACCAAAGGGGCCTGAAGAGAAGAAAGATTGTGAAGTGGTTATGATGATTGGCTTGCCAGGAGCTGGAAAAACTACCTGGGTTACTAAACATGCAGCAGAAAATCCTGGTAAATACAACATTCTTGGAACAAACACCATAATGGATAAAATGATGGTGGCAGGTTTTAAGAAGCAAATGGCAGATACTGGAAAGCTGAACACGCTGTTGCAGAGAGCTCCACAGTGTCTTGGAAAGTTTATTGAGATTGCTGCCCGTAAGAAGCGAAATTTCATTTTGGATCAGACAAATGTGTCTGCTGCTGCCCAGAGGAGAAAAATGTGCCTCTTTGCAGGCTTCCAACGAAAAGCTGTTGTAGTTTGCCCAAAAGATGAAGACTATAAGCAGAGAACACAGAAGAAGGCGGAAGTAGAGGGGAAAGACCTACCAGAACATGCAGTTCTCAAAATGAAAGGCATGGTGTTCTGTTACGTTATATAGCCTGTGATTTGTGTCTTAATATCAGTAATAGCCGTTTAACTGTAAATGAACGTTTTTATTTAACTTGTGTTTGTAAGAAAATGTGATTAAAATATGACTAGGTATTGTGTGTTTTGCAAGAATTACAGCTGATTGAGAATTGTAGGCTTTAGGGTTGTGAATGTGTATGTAGTGGGTTTGTAGGTTAATATGCTTTTATGTTTTGCAGGAAACTTTACTCTGCCAGAAGTAGCTGAGTGCTTTGATGAAATAACCTATGTTGAACTTCAGAAGGAAGAAGCCCAGAAACTTTTGGAGCAATATAAGGAAGAAAGCAAAAAGGCTCTTCCACCGGAAAAGAAACAGAACACAGGCTCAAAGAAGAGCAATAAAAATAAGAGTGGCAAGAACCAGTTTAACAGAGGCGGTGGGCATAGAGGACGTGGTGGATTCAATATGCGTGGTGGAAATTTCAGAGGAGGAGGCAAGTTAATTTAGAGTTACTATTTGGTCCAAGGTTGAAACAAATGGTAAACTTCTAGTTTGGGTCTATATATTACTTAGCTGAATTTAACATAGGAAGCTTTTGATCTGCATTATCTTAGCTGTCTTAGTAAGCATATCTAGGCTGTGTTGAAGGGTTAAACATTTTTCTCCTAAGATGAAGGAATGGTCCGAAAGAACCCTAAGTCTCATGTAAAGAAAGTAACACTATTAAATGAAATGTTTCTTGTTTTTTAGCTCCTGGGAATCGTGGTGGATATAATAGGAGGGGCAACATGCCACAGAGAGGAGGTGGTGGTGGTGGAAGTGGTGGAATTGGCTATCCGTATCCTCGTGGCCCTGTCTTTCCCAGCCGAGGCGGGTATTCAAACAGAGGGAACTACAACAGAGGTGGAATGCCTAACAGAGGGAACTACAACCAGGTGATCACTGAAGACCTCTGCAGACGCTGATGCTCCCTGTAACTTAGTGTGAGAGGTTACATAGGATGGGCAGCTTCACTGAAGAGTTAAGAACACAGTGTATATGCATAATTATGATACAATGTGTAAAATTCATTAATGTTAATTTTTAGGTGCGTTAACTCTTAATAGGAGCAAGTCAGGTGTGATGTCTCCTAGTGAATAAGTTTTAATCACCTGAAAGGAAACCCAGCAGAGTGTTCAGGTTAATGGCTGACTGCCCATCCATCCATTTCTGCAGCTATGTCCCCTCTTTGCCCCCTGCCCCTTAGATAATCCTAACTAACAGCTTGTGTTCTGAGTTCTTTAAAGATTTTTTTCTTTTTTGTAGAACTTCAGAGGACGAGGAAACAATCGTGGCTACAAAAATCAATCTCAGGGCTACAACCAGTGGCAGCAGGGTGTAAGTAATTCCTTACATGTTTTTATGTGCATTTAATTGTATTTAAGAATCAATCTTGAAAAAAGATCTTGTCCAGGGATTGAAGTGTTTGTAAATAAGTATTACAGGGCAAGCTGTGAGTTGTATTGCAGTTGTAGCTATATACTATCTTTTGAAGGTGAGATAGGTTGGAGTTTGCTGTAACTTAATATTTTTTAATAAAGTAATATTTAATTCATACTTTTTTTTTAAACTGATAGCTTTAATTGTATAAACTAACCGAAGTCGTAATGTGTTTTTTTTGTAATGTGTATTGATAATGGGATGTTAATACTAACTAAATCTGGCTTGATAAATCAGAGGAATGACAGGTATAAATTTGTTTCCAGCAATTACTCTGAATTAGATTGTCATTTCCTAAAAGCAATTTGAGTGGCTTATTGATGTTTTTTCTTTAAAAAAAAAATTTTCTCTTACAGCAATTCTGGGGTCAGAAGCCATGGAGTCAGCATTATCACCAAGGATATTATTGAATACCCAAATAAAACGAACTGATACATATTTCTCCAAAACCTTCACAAGAAGTCGACTGTTTTCTTTAGTAGGCTAACTTTTTAAACATTCCACAAGAGGAAGTGCCTGCGGGTTCCTTTTTTAGAAGCTTTGTGGGTTGATTTTTTTTTTTCTTTTCTTTTTTGTACATTTTTAATTGCAGTTTTAAAGTGAATCGTAAGAGAACCTCAGCATTGTGCACGATAAGAGAATGTGTCAGTATTTCAGGGTTCTACATTTTATCTGTAAAATGTGACTTTTTTTTTATCACAACAAAAGTAAAATGTTGCTTTGTACCTGGTGTCTTTTATTAAGAATTTACTCCCCCCCATTTCTCACAGAGATAACAGTCGGGAGTCATTGTCACAATATAATAGAAATGTTAGCAACCAGATTCATGTAAGGACTTAGTGGTCCTCATGAATTGCATAAGACTCTGTACTGCTCGTATTACACTCCATCCTCTCTGTAGTTTGCTGAGTAGTGGAGGGGTAAGCTAAATAGTAGTTTTTGACAGTAACTGGGAAGGTTCTTTCTTTTTAAGTAACAATGGAATTGGCATATTTGGGAATGAAGATAAAATTTGGAACTAAGATAGAGAAGATGGAGTGTATGTAGAAGGGCTGTTAAAAAATGTAAAACTTGGTTGCATTATTTGTGGAGGCTCAAACTTGTGAAGGTTTAAGTACCATAATTTTTCCATTTGTTCTGCATTTTGATTCTGAAAAGAAAGCTGGCTTTGCCCATTTCTTATTAAAAAAACTTGTTGTAAATCCAGTTGTCTAATGGGATCTATATGAAGTTAGCTATGTCTGTATGCCCTTCTCCCACAAAATACTGTATAACTAGTGTGCTTGTAGTAGTTAACTCCACCATCTTTGTAAGCTAATGAAATTGTGAGTCACCCATTTATATCTTAATTTTTAATCATGTCAGTTCTTGAATGGGTATCTCCTTAGCCTGCTGATTTCTTTTTCTTTCTAAAGAAAGTGGGTGGAGAAATTAATTTAGACGTTTGTTTGCAATAAAAAGAATTCATTTTACTCTTGTTTTGGGATTCTCGCCATCAAGGTTCAAAATCCCTTTATGAAACTCCCAAGAGGAGAAAATTTAAGTGTGTGCTTTCTGGACAGCTTATTCTTTACTCTGCACTTGGAACATTTAGGTTTTAAAAACTTAAATGTATATTGACAATTGACTTAAAATTACGAAGTTGAACTCTTCCCTTCCCCTCCCCCCAGATGACTTTAAACATTTAATGAGGGGAAAAGGTACTGGCTGGGAGAAGTTAACACTCAGTTTACCATCTTTACAAAATGCTAATGGCTGTCCTCAACTGATAATTATATATACATCTATATAATACATGAAACTCTGGGAACAGATGCTTTTAGAAGCCATCATGCAAGCCAGTCAATACTACACAACACTGCTAACTTAACTGTAGTTATGTGATAACATTAGATCCCCTAATTGTAATTTTATTGGGTTTGCACAGAACACTTAATCTTGTAAAGGACCCTCACTTACGGTGAGGAATCAGGAGTCAAACTGTAGAACTAAAACTTGACATGAGCTTAGTGTTTCGTTGGTGTTACAGGTTTCCTCTGGTAAGTACAGGTTGGTTTAATTTTCTGCCTGCCTAGATTTTTGTTTTAGCCATTTTAAGTCAGATTTTTAACTAGAAATTTTTCTTGCTGAAAGATGAGCTGGAGTTGAGTTTCAGATGGTGTAGTTTCTGTTGAGAGTGTTTTGGTTATAACACACTTACCATAGGAATACTTACCAGTATAAGATAGTGTCTCCAGGGTTTTTGTCTTTTTAGCAATTGCAACTATCTGCATGAGCCTACTTTTCAGGATGCATCAGTATTACTAGGATTGCATAGCCTTGTCCAGAGGGAAAAAGTAAGCTTTGTTGCTAATCAGTATTTAGGTGTCCTAAATGTTTTAAATACTATTGAAAAACCTTGGATATAGTTTCTAGTTCAAAATTGCGTATTTTGCTACTCTTAATCATTGCAATGGGAGAGTGATGGCCAGGGGACAATTCTGTAGGCTTGTTGCCTGTGTAGCACAGAAAATTTGGGGAAGAGAGATAAAAAATGTTGACAGAAAATGTTAGGTTTTAAGAAGCAGTTTCAAGGTCAGAATTACTGTTACTGTTAATGTCTGTTTATATGAAATGAAACAAACCTAGAAAATATATAAGAAATTAAGAGGGAGTGCACCATATAGCAAGCAAGAGAAAAAGTTGATGCCAAGTTTGGTAGAACAAGAGCTATAAACAAAAAACTTGGTTTACTGTTCACCTCTCCCCTTGCCTACATCTCCTCTATGTCAAGCAAAACTGGATAAACATCTGAACACAGATGTCCCAGCTACACCTTAGAAAACTCACCTGTGAGACTGTTTAAGAGATGCTTTCACTAGAAACTTTTGCATATAGTTGATTATACCTACCATCCTGAGGCAAGAATTGGATTAGATTGGTTACTTGGTACAAAAACAGCATAAAGATAGAAATGATAAAAGTTAAAACTGAAACTGCAAAAAGTTATCTCTGTTGGTCATTTACATCTTGATGCTCATATCTGGCCTTGGGTGGAGAGCTCCAGCTCTGACTGAGGAGCCTGAGACTGACTTGTGGCCCTAATACACAGACAGCAAGGTGAGATCTTAGGATGAAGGCTGAGTCCAACCAGTTTAACATTGAAATGACAAGCTACATTAAATGTAGAAAAGAAGCTCTCGTTTGCCTTAGGAGCCTGTTGGAAAATAAGAAATATGAAACTAGTTTTAAACGCTAGCAACAGGTATTAAAGCTTGTTAAAAAACAATTTTTTTCAAGGAAAGATGACTCAGTATTTTTCAACTCGGGGAATTTACATTCATGGAAAGATTGTGTGCTGTATATGCCTCAGGTGTGGGAGTTGAATTGACATGATTTCCTATGAACATCATATATGAACAGGCTTTTTATCTTAGGATTGTTTTTATAACAGGTTCCATTGCACAAACAAAATATTTTGATAGTATTTAAGGCAGTGGTGCAGACACCTTTGACATAGGAAGAACTGATTGTAGATCTGGAAGTGTGTTTTTGATGTGTTTTGAAAGCCAAAACCAGGATAAATATGTTAAGGAGAAATTAAGGAAAGTGTAAACTTGTATTTTGGTAGTCTAAGTTGAAGTTTTTGGTATTAGATACACAAAACATTTTAGTTCTCATAATTCACATATAACTTAAACTGTCTCTAAAAAAAAGTGGAGCCTGTAGGACAGAAAAGTCATCTACTTTTCAACCCCCCAGAAGACTCATTTTGGAAGGAACCTTATTCTTCTAAAGCCATTTTTCTAAAATTCTTAAAGATGTTTGAATCTAAACTTGTTCATATTTCTGGGGCTCTGGAGCTCAAAAATGGGTTTAGGTTTTAACATTTTAGTAATACTTAATGAAAGTACGGATGTATGATAATGACCTGGCAGTAAGTTGCAATGCTTAGTTTATGTATTGGAACTCTTGATTACACATGAATTTTAAAGGACCATTAGTGCTTTAAGAAGCTTAGCAGCTGCTTCAGATCTCTTAAAGGATTGGGATTTATTACTCACGTAAACTTCAGTCTCTTAAAATCAGTTGCCTTAAACTTAACTAGAAATAGTTGAGTGCAATATTTTTGTGATAGTGGAGAGCATTTTCCTTGGATGACTTTGAAATGTGACTTTGGCCATCAGTCCCCAACTCCTGTACTCAAACATGCAGGTGATAGTTGTGGCCAGTTCAGTGCCTAGAGTTTTACTTGTGTTCTAATGCCCAGTTTTTAACTTAGTACTATTAATCGTACTACACGTACATGACTATAAGACAGTAAAAATACATTGTTTACCTAATTACTGTTGAAGTGACATTTGTCATAAACTAGTCTTTATTAACCTTGATAATAAAATTAAATCCTTAAGAATTAATTTGGAAATGACCTACTGGACTGATAGAAGTAGTATGTATCCTCGAGTGTGTTGCAATAGAAAAAATTAAAAACCATGACCTTAACATTAATTTTAAATTGTTAACTTATACATGTGAACAGCTAATAACCTAATTTTTAAATTCTGCTAATAAGGTATGGCATTTTATTTGGTGGTCACAGTAGTGACTTTCAAACATGGAGATAGCTGGAGCTCGGAAAATAGCTTTAGGTAGGAGAGTTACGGCTAACAAAGATAACACTAAGAGTAGTACATACATACACACACACACACATACATATACTTTTAACATTCTAGCCGATCAAAGATTCAGGTGATAGGTTAGTGTTGTTTGCCCAAGGAGTTTAGTCCATGAGGAATAGCAGACTGAAAATAGGTAGTGATATTACTCAAAAGGTTAACCCAGAGTACTCAAAAAAGGTAACACCTATACATTGTGTGATCAGGTTGAGAATGTGCTGTCCAAGTGAGAAGCTGAATAAGTACTGTTTGACATGTAGACAGTTGGTCATTTCCCTTGTGATTGTGGATCCAATATTATGGGAGTAAATGTTGCAGGTAACTATTAAACCAGGACATCTGTAATCTTTGGTTAGATGAGTTATTGGGACAAGAACTTAATCATGTATTTAAGTAGTCAATTCTAATTACTTTAGGAATATTGTAACTTTTTTCTCTTTATGCCAGGAATCAACATAAACTTACATCTTGACAAGGAACAGGGGTTTTGCTTTTAAATACTGGGTTTGTTGGTATGAGAAACAGTTGAAAGTGATGGCGTAGTAACAGTCCAGGCGAATGGAGAAATGTCTTAGGGAAAGGCTCGGTTCCTTAAGTGTTTCAGTTAAAATCAGTGCTACATCAGTGGCACAGCAGTCACTGGTGCGGATGTGCAGTTCATCTTGGGTTTTGCACAAGTGGACGTTCTGTAGGGACAACAGGCTTGGAAAGCTAGCATCGAGTTTGGAACCTGTAAACACCAAACTGCTTGTTGCATGTTCTTCCTGCCAGTCCTCTAAGACTCCCATTAATTACATGATCTTATACGAAGTAAAATTAGTTTTGGCTAGTAAAATATTTTACATTTGCCAAGCACTTGAGAAGCATTGCCACAAATTAACATCAGCTGAAAAATCTTAAAAGTAAAAGCAATCAAGAACTTTGAGATGGGCACTGTAGACAGCTTGCACAGCATGAAATCTTCAGAAGTATTCAGGCATACATAGAATGAGAGCAGTTGAAGCTTACTTGAATGACAGGATAATCTTTTACCTTAGCTATTATTAAGGTGCCCTTTTAGTTGTAGTTAAGGGAGATGGGAGAGTAATGGTCAAGTACAACAAAAGGTTCCAGCGTACTGTTTTTGTTTTTTTGAAAAATAAAAGATAATGTGCTGATTTAAGTTTCATCTCCTTTTCCTTAGTCTGTCCATGTGAATGTGCTGTGTGGAAGAGTAAAAGGGCCCAAGTAAATGTGTTCCAGTGATTCCAATAGGTATTCCAAATTAATTGCTGCTTGTACGTTAACACTTGTTATATTGGGCTTCCAGGGTCTCACCTTAATTAGAACTCTTTTTAAAATAAAGACAGGGGAAAGGGAGAAATTAGTAACTAGGTGGATAGATCTGTCTATAATTAGAAGGAAAAAAAAAGTTCTAATAGCTCCTTTGTATACCTGAAATGTGAAGCGCATTTAGTAGAATGTTAGTTGGTGGTCCTCTTGCATAGATTAGAGGCGCTACATGCAAATAGAGCCAAGTCCTTTTAAGATTATCTCCTCATTCTAATGGTTCAGATTCCTTTTAATGTTTTGTATGTTTCAACACCCTACTTGTAGTTTAAATACTTAAAATATTCTAATGCAAAGAGATCTAGAATGCCTATGTCCTTGGGTTCCCCAAATCCTTCTGCATCTATGGTAAATGCACAAATAAGCAGCCTATAAAAACTTGGAAAACCATCTTTTGGATAGTGAAGTAATGTACATTTATATCAAAAGTCCATTAAATCAGGAATTGAAATCTAAGACAAGGACTTTGATTATGTTAGTTCAGAAGCATGTATGAAACTTAGAAATTTTCCTCACTACATACTTCAGAATAATGTATTTTGGTGAATGAGAGAGGACTTGAGTACTATACTGACGGGAAATAAAAAGATCAGAATTTCCTCAGTGAAACAGTTTTATTCTGTCAAAACAATCTCTTAATGGCTTTTGAAGAGCAGACAGCTTGTAAGAGTAAAAGGTAAAATTCACAACCCTTCTTTCTATTGGAGGAAGAAAAACATAAAAACTAGGAAAATGTTTATAAAGCAGCCTTAGAATTTAGGTTGTAAAACATTGTTTCATGTCACATGACTTGTCCTTGGGGCTTAAGGAGGAATACAGTTTAATGAAAATTCACCCTGTAAGAAACCAGTTTGTGCTGATTTGAATCTCCTAAGGGTAGGCCATAAAATAGGTGTTTTCTAACTTACAGAACTCTGGAAGTTATTCTTAGAAAAAAGGTGGAACAGATAACTGCCCAAGTACGTGTGAATATTAGTGAACAACAGAAAACTTTGACTTCATTATTTATTTATAGTCAGTGGTAGTTTTCTCAAGATAAAAATACTTGTGAAGTCTATAATTTCTAGAAAATAAAAGGCGAATGCAGTAGTTGAAAAGACTCATAGGATGTTTGCAACACTGATCAGTAGCGCCTACATTATAAACTTTGAAATGTATTACTTTGAAAAATACTGTGTAAGATAATTTGTCCCTAAAGCGTCTCTTTTCAGAGAAAATTTACATATTGAACTTAATGCACACACACAAAAATATCCTGCGTAAGATACCAGTATTTGGGTGGTAGAAGATAAACTGACCTGATTTGATGACCAGTGGACCATATTTTTAAGATGCTTCCAAAAGATATTTTATTCTAGAGGACCATTAAAAACTATAATTAAAACAATCATTGTACTTTTTCTACTTTCCTCATTAAGGTATTCTGCTTTCCCAAAGTCATGTACCTTACATGACTAAAGGGGTGCCTTAATCCCCATTCACCAGATTTTTACCTAGGAATAGAAGGATTCAAACCTTATTTGATACCTAGCATTTTGCTGAAAAGTGTGCATAAACAGGAATCCTGAATTTATTATATAGACCTCCTCGCATTATAAAAGCGAAGCGAAGGGAAACCAGCGATGGAGTAGAGGTACGTAGACTGAAGAGATGCTTGCAAATGATGGTACTAGGGATAGTCAATATGTTGGCAAACTTGGTCAATATAAATCACAAGTCCAGAGAAAAGCTAGTTAATTTAAAAAACCC